TTTTCTTTTTTGGAGAATTAAATGGAAATTAATAAATTTCTTTTTTCTTGAATGACAATTTTAGTTGAAATTGACTTTTTTTTCCTCAAAACAACAAGTTTTTGTCAAATAAGTTCAACTAATTACACATAAACGAAACTGTCACAGAAGTTAATTATGATGATGAGGAGAAATTTGCATAGTGGATTATATGGATCAAGGAATGTCGCATATTGAAAAGTTGATCGAGATAAACATGGGCCAACTTGATTGATCCTTTAAGCATACATATATATTTTCCAGATACAAATATGCATCCTTAAGATAAAAATTTTCCCTCATTAATGTTAAACAATTTTTAACCTAAATTAAACTTTATAAAGTTTCATGACAAATTTCTTCCTTTGGGAAAAACAAATTTCATATCCGGAAATTATAAATGAATGAAAATAACGGGAAAAAAATTTTCAATTTTTGAATAATTCATTGGGAACCGATTGAATTTCAAGTTAATTCCATGATACTTTTTTCCTTTTTTTTTTTCTAGACTAAAAACTTTCCGATGATAACAAATCATTTTTTTTTTAATGAAATAGCTTTGAAAAAAACAATTTGAAATTTCAAGGTAATAATAATTTTTAAATTTTAGTATGCAACAATAATTCCTTAATTTTAAAATTATCCTATATAAAATGAAATGTAGTAACAAGTTCGCGCAATGAAATACATCAACGAGGAGGTAAAGCTTTATTTACTTAGTTACGGTGCTGACTGATGAAGACCGCCTTATAATTGATGAGGTGGTGTTTTCTCACGGGAGCAAATCCATTCTCAAATACAAAACCAAACAAACCATGCATTCTGTACCATCGTTACATTTTCCAACCTTAATTGAGATATTTCATCAGCCTTAGAATGTGAATGAAAATTTATCCCATAAATTATCAAAATTTCACCATCCTGATTTTGGATTTTTCCAAAACACTATTTGATTTCCAACTTTTTCTACAAATTTATTTGATTCCTTGAAAAATTATTTGTACAATTTTCAAATAATAAACCTTAACTCTTTAGAGTATTAATTAACTCTTTAGATGTCTTTAGAGCATTGTACGCTTACTGTCGTGATACCGTACATTTCAGTATAATATTTCACGTTTACATCTACTGATAATAGTTATGTTAAAAGTAAAACACGTGAAATTCAAGTCAATTCTTCTTTTTATACAATGCATAATGAGATTTCATTTCATCTTCTTTGACAAATATGACGAGATTTTCATCATAAGTTATTGATTCCAATCAATGATATTGTAGCAATAAATGACCACTATTGTTACCAGTAATAAGAGTAGTAGTATTGGAGAAACATCGATTTGAGGGAAGATATCTGGTAGCAACCGGGATAGAGTAACTGTAGAGGATAATCCTATTATTATATAAATACTAAGAAAATACCCTAATAACTCTTAAATCTTAAAGACCTACGACTTCAAGCCTTAGAACTAAAGACTGAAATAACTATTTGACCTAGCGCAACTTTCTTCTACATCCATTAAGATTGCTAAGTTTACGGTGCATTAAGCAACCGATTATGGCTACCACCATGTAAAACCGGATATCGCAACAGCATACTCACTTATTAAGCATAACAGCATAGCACACAGTTTTATTACCTGAACAGATGACTCCATACCATATACCATATGGATTTAATTATTTGAAAATTCGAACCAATGATATCATCCTTCCCGTCTGAATGGGACAAATTTGTAGGCAAGAATGCTTTCCTGATATTAGCTATATCTCTTTAGATGAATTATATAATTGATCACGACACTACAGTGATAATTTTATAAATGTTATGCAAAATATAACTTACATGCACATTTTACTGATTTACAGAATCACAGTCAAATATAATACAACAATACATGATAAGATAGCCAACATCAGAAACAATTTTAAAACAAAGTGGAAAAGAAACTTCCAGGAGATAAATTATTCAAAAAATCCAGCATATCGTCATCTGTACTATCCATATCAACATCACAATGCCGATATTATCAAGATGTCTCTTATGAGTTCTATTCCAATGGAAAGATTTTAGCTACAACTACAAAGTGCATGTGACCAAACATTGCTCCTAGAAAAAGAAGCAAGTTATTTCAATTTACTTGGCGCTTAGATTATTAATGGGACATTACTTCGATGGGGAAAAGTAGAAGATAGAAAAGTATGAATGTGAAATAAAGTAAAAATAGCAGGAACTGAAGTTCACAGAAAAGTATGAATGTGAAATAAAGTAAAAATAGCAGGAACTGAAGTTCACCCAATCTACATATTAATATCATAAAGTGATGCATCTACTTACCACTCATCTCTTTTAATATTCAACAAAAGATAATAATTTGGGGAAAAAATTAAAAAACTTCTGAACAAAATACAAGACAATAGAAATCATTCGTTTGCATGATACATGAAAGGCATGGTAAAACGATTAAAATACATTGAAAATCAAATATTGTTCTGTGGAACAGGTAGCACCGCTAAGTAAGCAATATTTGAGCAATAAAATATTAAGAACTTGGTTTGAATCCGATGATCTGTCAAAGTGAACGAATTGTAAAGTCCATATCTCCTCCGGATGAAGATCTGCAATAAACATTTCCCTCTGTCTCATGAATCAGTTTAGTGAAAAATCTGATTTCATGTAAAATGATCGTGAAGTCCGCTTTCTATAACTTTTGCCTGTTCCCATAAATCGTAGAAGTACTTTTTAATTTTTATTATAGAAATGTTCCAAAAATTAAGTACTCAAGAAAGTTTTATCAACTAAAAAAATGTTCAAACTCAACTTTAACCTTTTATCAATTCCCAATGCCCTTTTTCGAGTCTGTTCCTCTTTCTCTTCTCGCGCTTTTCGCAATGCTAAACGAACTGATATCGTATCTGCCTCACGCTGATCAGGTTTCCTGCTGTCCAGTTTTACCTACAATATTCTAAAATAATTAAATGTAAACGATATTTAGAACTGCATTCGTATAAAAAAAGTGTAACATATAGTTGCGAATGTGTGAAACACATGGGAGATATGACATATCAAGGAAATAAGGACAAGCTGCACTTATCACTGCTGGTCATTCCCGTCATAAGAACTATCCGGACATTCAGTGGTCAGGTACGTATATTGGAAAATCATGGATACCTGACTCAGTATTCAAACTCTCTAACATAATTTCAAAGCTTTCATATAAAAACACCAGTTAATGTGAAGGCAAAAGCTAAGGACTATTTTTTAATGAAAGGTCGAATCAAAGTGACAACCTCGACAGCTCTTTCTCCAAAGTGTTCCAGAACTTTTATCCTATATTCGATCACTTGCCGAATTGGATTACCCCGCAAAATTAGATGATCTAAACAAGGAAGAGCACCAACTGCCCGAAGATCATCGGGAGAAGCCACAGTGTTGTCAGTCAAATCCAGAAACTCTAAGGCATATAATTTATGCAATCCTGTAAATGCGAATCCTTTTTAAAGAAGACATGAAATCATGAAATAAAGTTCAATGAAAAACTTGAACAACACTATTTACACAAGTTTTATTATGTCAGAAATCAAGTCAAACATGGCTATAATTTATCCTCCTGATGATATGGTATAAACAAAGATACCATTCAGTGCAGATATTTTGTTGCCAGCAAGATACAGGCGTTTTACATTACCCAATTTCGTATACCACAAATCCAAATCTTCAATAGCGTTATGTGAGAGATTAAGTTCAGTCAGCATTGTGAGATGTTGCAAGTGATCACCAATACTCGTGAGAAGATTATGTGATAAATTCATTTTCTTTACCAAATTCAACAAACTCTGCAAATTAAATCTGAACGGTATCAAATCCATAAAAACATATTCCGAGAATTCCAATAAAGTGATCCTTTAAACGAAGCAACAATTCAAAATCACAGATCAAATCACAAATAGAGAATCATACTAGTAGTTTTTGTAAGACAAGTTTTCGACAAATTTATTTTGATTTATCTTTGTTTTGCTTAAACCCGTAAGTTGTATCCATTTATCAAAACTTACAATGCTTTCGTCAATTTCTTCAAGTTCGTTGAATGAAAAATCAATTTCTTCGAGAGAAGACCACTTCTCTTGATTCTCAGTTGGCAGCATCCCATCGGGTTCTAGGAGAAAATCCTTAAAAAGGAATACATTCCTCCCTTAGAAAAACCGATAAATGTAACTGTGATTTTTTCCCTTACGACGAGAAAAGTCATAATCCCCCAATGGATATGGACAACTGATTAATGGAATTCAGAAACAAAACTAACAGAAAGTTTCTTCATAGAATAATGGATGACTACCCGTTTACATGTGTTACGCACCGAATATAAGTCATGAATCATGCGCACGTCAAAATCGCTTATCTGAAACTTTTGTGAATGCTGATATGCCAATTAACTGACGGTTTACTCATAATTATTTTATTCTACTGGTTGAAAAATTTCTGTTCTTTTTATAACCAAAACAACCACTGATAAATTAAAACCCACCCACAGTGCTGTAATATTTTTGCATAGATTAAGGCCAAACGCTAAGGAATTCCATATGATATTCGATGTGCCGACATAACCTCGAGCACCTCGAATTTTCAAATTTCGAACATTATGTAAAAATTCCACACAATTTGCAATATCCATTTTCCCGTCACCTTAAAGATAAAAAAGTGATTAAAAAGTGATTTATATCACTGTCTCGGAGAATGGTTCTTTCTATGAAAACAATTCCGCAACCTCTTCCTTTGGGAAAATAAGTATCTAATAAGATTCAGCAATTTTTTCCAAAAGAACCGTAATTCAGTAGTTTTTTTTCAAATGTGCAGCATTTCAAGAATCGAATAATTATAATCAAAAAATTTTATGCGAAAAATAAAGAATAATTATAAATTCCATGCAGAAAATAAAGTACCATTTGTTGTTGGTTCAGCCAATTTCATCCTTTCTGTAATAGCATACAGTTCGACCGGTGTAAACTCGAAATATTTTGGTTTTTCTGTTGCTGATTGCAACCATTTTTCACCAGATGTTCCAAGTTTCAGCGAAAGATCCTCAACAATTGCATGCACTTCCTGAAAAATTATTCATTGATATATACATCATGATCTTCGTGTTACCTAATGACAGCAATGAAGTGACAGAGTCCCACAGCAGAAGCACTTTCAATTCACTAGACCATTTTGAAATTCAGTTGATATTCTTTTGGAGTATTTCAAGTGAACTTTAACTCCTATTTATTAAAAGATTTGAGAATACCATGAGTAAACTAAAAAGGAAGGCTTTCAGCAAATTTAAATTTGAACATAATCCGTTTGGCCTCAGATGCAAAAAAATGTGATACATCATACTAATGGTGAGATACAAATCATCAGGTCAGACTATCAATTTGATTAATGACTGAGTTAGTATTGTTAATGTCATTCAGTGAAAGGGACAAATCAAGAGTAAAAGTAGGCAAATGAAGAGTTTATCCTTTTGTAGTATCACATCGATATTCCGAAAAAAAAAGAATCGCTTTTTTAGATTTTCTGCAATCTGATAACTAACAAATCCTTTAAGTCTCCCAAAGCGTTTTTTCTTTTTTTCTTTGAGGCCTATTTTCATCCAGAAAAACATCACAATTTCCCCAGAGTCATTTGAATCATCTTTCCGCAATACACTGCAAAAAAAAAGAAACAAATTTCATTTCGATTTGAAAAAAGTGACATTGAACCACGTCTCATCCATAGTAATACACGCAGTATTGAATACTGAAATTAGTCCACTTCTTCCACTTCATAACACAATAACATCTCGAATTACAAATCCGGGAAACTTGACAGCCAATTTAGTGGCATTATGCTGACAATCCAGAACCTAGGCAATGCAGACTAGCAATTTATTTGAACAGAAAAATGACGTCTCGACCTTTCCAGTTATCAGCAATCACTCTGAATTCTCTGATCAGGAGATCACAGACACGGGCTTCATGTCTTCAAATATTCATTGATAGTAGCAGATTTTGATATGTACATATAAGCCCAGTGACAGCAGCATGTGTAATGCATTATCCAATCAATCACTACTACATTCGAATAATTTCTTCCGCATCACTTCCATCCACTTTTTCAGCGATACACATTCCATTTATTATCAATTCTCAGTCAGTGCGGATTCATTTCAAATTCATTTATAAATTCAAAAGACTATTAAGTTCGGTTCGATTTCGATATTTTCCAGAAGGATGTTCGAATCAGCGAGAAGTAATAAAATTAAAACATCTTATTACTGAGAAATGTTGCTTTTCATAACGTAATGAATGGTTGGCTGAAATGGTTGTTATTGTTGTTGTTTTTATCAAATAGCGAATTTCTTCCCAACAAGTAATCCCAAATGATTTGTTTGGTATAAATGCTATACCAATATCCCGCTTCTCGAATGCCAACACAGATCAGTTGCAATTGAAATTTCAGATATTACTGAAAGTATTTTTTTACTAGAATTAAGCATTCCAAAGACAAACTACTCAGACTACAAACACTCTTTTGATGCCTGGAGATAAAACAAAATGAATTACAACTGTTTCACATTTAAGGAGAGAGATGAGCATAACGAAAGTTGCGAAGAGAAGGACACAAAACATCGCAATTCGAGTATTTTAAACTTACAGGTTATCTGGTTAGTTTTTCACTGAATATTCATCTCCTACTCTTTTCTGTCGATACTATTAGTCCTCAGAATGTTGCTAAAATTGGACATGGAAAGGGTTATAAGTTTCAGAAAACATCCAATCACCAATCAAATATATTGTAGTGAACCCAACCCTTTAAATTCATTCCAGTATGTGTTTCTCAACATAACAATAACGATAACGATAATAGTAATTATTTCGCTGGCATGAAAAGCAGTTACTTTAAACTTTGCTATGCAATGTTATTGCGTTGGCAACAGCACGTAAGCCAAAATTTTTCGACTCGAATTACATAGCTGTTGTTAGTGTAGTAATGTAAGTGTTACTTTTCCACTTTTTCTTCAATTTACTTCACAAAGTCCAACTTTCATTTTTTTCAACGTTGCAAAATATATGCATGCAAAATATATGCATATATATATATATATATATATATATATGTACACATACCACATAAGTAATTGCAATAATTAATTACATATTTGTGGGGAAATATGAGGCATGATGCTTGTCCCCACCTCCCTTCTTTTTCCCCTCCCTATATCCCCATTTACCACATCCCTACACTTCCATTCCATTCTCTTCTGTTATTTCGAACTCTGCTACTATATTGATCCCAAGAAACAAAGCAAGGCTCTCTATGCTTCTTTGTCAAGCCCCAAATTCACTACTACATTACTATCACTAGTATTACTAGTACTATTATTGCTACCACCACTGCTGCCACTACCATCGTCATAACATTCATCCCCAACGGGACCAATCAAACTTCGACGGCCGATTGAATGACCACAAAGAAGCCACCTGCTATTGCGACGCTTAATATTGATGGAGGTATGCACATAATATTGTTTCAAATTTGGAACCAAATTGGAATTATAAGGTTTTAAATTTATGAATTGCTAATCTATATGCAAAATCTACTTGGAGTTTGCATCAGTATAATTAAAAAACTTTTAAACATCTTTCCCCCATATTATAACTCGAATTTTGTTTCACTTATCATATACCAATAAGCAAATAATTATACACACACTAGCAGAGTTTAATTTTACATGCACTTTTAAACTCTTGTTCAATCCAAAAATTAGTGCAATAATTATGGCCCGAAATTACTCATATTTAGACTTATGTAATCGATTTTCAAAATCATTAAACTTTAAGGATTTTTAGAAATACACTTTCTTTAATGTACTGACCATGACTTACCTATCGTCTGTCTTGCTATTTCATCAACAGAAATGTTACGTATTGCTCAGAAATAACTAATACATGTTCATCCCTCTTCCTTTTTCCTTCTATTTTCACCCAGGGCTACACAAACCAATCCATTCTCTCAATTACATAAAATTTGATTAAAATCCTAAAGGAAGCCTGAAACTGCATCAAGATGTTGGATAAATATGTTATGTATGCATGTGCCTCATATTGTTCAAACTGCATTACTCCGATTCTTTCCATCCAAATACTTACAGGCAAACGAACTTCTATTAACACCACTCATTTTTTTTCTTTTTTGTTCGAGTATAATTTGTGTCTAGTCATAACGAATGTTGTTGTTTTTGTCTGTTAAAATAATAGGAAGTACTGGCATAAAACTCCGGTAAGGAGTGGGAAGATAAAAAGTGACACGGGGGGATGGCATGAGTGAAACACGACTGGAGATTATCCTCTTTAAAAAATCAAAAAAAAAAAAAAAAAGGTTTATTGGTTCCTTTTAAGTGACTTATAAACAAAAATGCAAATCAAAGACCCAACAGACCTTTGATTTCTCTTCTTTTATTTGTAAGTTACTTATCTATAGATAGCAGTACTAGCAGTATAAAGCAGTATAACAAGGTAACAGTTAACAATTTTATTTCGTCTTATTCATTTAATTATTAAGAGAACAGTGTGTGTTCGAAACAGCTTCCGTCTCATATTAATGTCGCAGTTTTAAAAGTGTTTTTCAATTCAAATTATCTCTTCTTCCATTACTCATTGTACTGATTCACCACAGCTAAATATGTTTTAAACTCAGTCGAGACCATTCATTCCATCTTCCCTTCCATTCAGGAGGAATTCCGCATAGAAGGAATTCTTCCACACTTAGTTTTTTTCAAAATTTAGGATATAAATTTTCCTTTACTCCCATCTGTTTCCTTTTATTGCACGCAATTTTAAATTTCTTTTCATTTGAATTACTCCTCCACTTTACATATACAACGTATTAATAGTTGATTCGTTTCGTATTTTATTAATAACTTTGCCTTGATAAAATCAACCCAGTTTTCCTCTCCATAATCCGCCGTTAGTGGCTGACGACTTATTATGATTTTTCAACTCGAATAAAGCATGCGTTTAATGCAATTTGGATTATAGTAATATCAAGGAATACTTTTCATGATTCATCCAGAAATCCATTAATCCAGAATCCATAATTTTCATTCTACATTCTAAAATTCACACTTACAGTAAAGTCAAATTGATTTTGAAATAGGTTTCACCTTGTCCTCCGCATGAATATCTATAACTATGATAATAAAGGTAGAAGCCAACTAATGATGGCATTGAATGATGGCCGGTTTGAAGAGTGCCCATCATCAAGCTCCTCAAATATCCATCATCATCCATTCATGCGAGTTGAAGTGAGCCGACAGATGTGAACAAATGACCGGTAGTTGGAGGTTCAGACATCATTTCAACTCGTAAACAATCTAGTGTGGTTTGAATAGACGTCAAACGCTGATGTTCACACGGTAAGATCTGCCAAAGACACACAGACATACACACACCCACACACCAATGCATAACCTCGCTTGTTCATTCACATCAGTAATTCACCGCATAATATGGGGTAAAATGTTTGTCACATATTAAAAGCACTTAGTGATATATACACGACCCACAATGTCATTACAGGGATACCATTTGAGAGGCATACATGGTATTAGTGAGTGCCAAGACATAGAGACAAAGAGATGGATCTCATTTCCCACAACCTCTCTCATTTGTTCTCGAGGATCTCCTCCATACCGGCCAATATCTCATTTCAATCACTCGCCTCACTGCACCATAACAAGCTTTCATAGCTTCTAGCTTTCTTCTCACTTAGCCTTACGCTTCTTGAATAGCAACTCCACGAATCTACAATGATACATATTATGTATATTCCGATGGATTTTTCAATTTTACTAAATTCATTAATTGCGGCGTAAAAAACCTGGGAAAGTTACATATTTGTTACTTATTTGTTGGAAAGCGCAATGATCACAATTCTCTCTTGTTTTGTGGATTGTTCCATGACAACGTCTTTGTAATCTGGTGACGTTATTAACTGCAAAGTTACTGCATAATTGCAGTACACATAATTAAATTTTTAGCTTCGATCAGTCTATAAGTTCAGAAACATTTGAGTGTCCTCAATTTCTCCACTTATACGTTGCAGGAAAATCCAGGAATCCTCAGTTTATCAGCCACACAAATTAGCGTTGCACAAATTCGAGAAATTTTGAACACCTCCAACCTAACATTTCTTCATCCTTGTACCTATGACAATCATTCACTATAAGAATTATTACTTTGGAAGTAATAATTTTTAAAATACCAAACCTTCATTTTATAAGTAGTTGTAAACTAATTATGCAAGCTTTAATTACTATGAGCTTAGAAAAAGGCTAATCAAAATATTTCGGATGCACAATTTGTAGATGTGAAAAAAAAACAACAATCACTCTGTATGAAACACAAAATGTCATGTTTTACAATTGAGAGAGGTTCTGTAGCAGAAGTTCTGTATGGTAAAGTTGTAAGAAATAAAATGTCTTCTTATGATCATAAATTGATTTCCAGTGAAAATTATATATAAATAAACACAACAGATAGATACGTACACAGCACACATATACACACACATACACATAAACATACAGATACAGATGCACACTAATAAAGCAAGATGCCGAAGAAATAATATTCCTTTCAAGTAGACAAGCAAACAAATGTTTGTGGATGTTTACCGTGGTTGTGGCGCTCAGCATTGCCTCATTAACTATATGTTAAATCTTCCGATATAAGCTCAATTTGCTTGTATGTCTTTACTAGTAATAATAGTACTGCTATATTGCTGTGACGATTTTATTTTAAATTAGCCAATTTAATTCATTTTAAACTAATCTCAATTATTGGTTAGCCTGACCAACTGTTTGTTAGAGATACTTCTTTTGTTAAGTCATTTGTTTGCCAAAAATTTTCAACCTTTGAGTTCTAATTGAAATCCCACTAATACTTTAATCTCACAAATTTTAGCTATTCTTACGCATCACATTCCAATTGTATTCCTTCCTTCTTCCCCAACGAATAAGAAAGAAAAAAATCCCTTCGAAAACTAGCTCTATTGTGTTCACATTGTGTTTAGAAAACTAATGTGTCTGTTTCGCCATCTATACCTTAAATTCTAGTGACAAAATGTTGCTGATAAATCCTTGTCCTGCGTGGCTTCTTGATTAACTTCCTAAAAATCTCTGAATATTTGACTCTTCATTCACTTGTTTGAATTTGAAATAAGGATAATGATAATGTTTAAAATTCTGAGCAAATAAATTACAACGCCCATAACTTCAACAGTTAATGATTACATATAATTTGCTTATCAGTATACTATAATGTAAGACCATCTTACACTTACAACGAATGGTTAAATTATTGCACCGCTATCTTTTCCTAGAACTTATGATGCTTAGAGAATACCAGAAATAGTGTATGCTTTATTTAATGTGCACCGCTTCTAATGGACAATAACACACAGCTGACGCCCGGAAGACCCAGCTAATCCGATATTCTCTCGCCATTCCATTTTCTATTAAATTACACACATGTTGTAACTAAGCTTAGACCTGTTTCTCACAACACAATTCTTTCTAAGACCATGAATAGAATGAATCGATCCCGTTAGCAAGGATGCATATACCTCCCTCTATATTTGTATATCACTTTCAACGACATTTTAAACCTCTGAACTAGTCCTGAACTCATCCTTAATTATCCTACTCACGGAATACCGAATTTATAACCTTAATTATAATTTTAGAGCGAAGAAATCAAACTAGCACCAAACCTGTCTCTGGAGTCCTAATTAAGCATTTAGATTGCGTGATCACGATATACGTAGATTGATTTCATGTCACAATATCTGTGAGATTTTTACCCCGTTAATTAAATCTGAACATGGAAAGATCTACATAATCTAAGCTTTTTTCCTCTGAGAACTGACATCGGATACAACTTCACACCTTTGTTCATGCATATGCTGAGATGAATTCCTTACAGACTACAGTAATGATTTGTTTAACTTGTAACAAAGTATTACAACGGGAAAAAAATCTTTTCCTTCAAATATTTGGAATCATTTAAACCTTTCAAATGCTAAGTAATTATTATATTTTTGACTAACATTAGGATCAGAAAAAAAAAAAATCCCGCATATCCTTGAGAAAGCATGTTGCTCTAGCATTAATATCTCCCTTTTATTATACGATTATCCTTTTCCTAAATGAAAAAGAAACCCCAGCACATGGAAGTAAATTACGCCAAATTTAGGCCGAATAAAAAGCGCTTTTGAACCATCTCATGACTATTTCCATATCTCCGTGTCATCAAAAATAGTTGACAAGCACTTTAAATAAATCCTCCGATCCTTACGCTCCCTATATATGCTACTTATGGCCCTTGTTTACCGAAATTACCCTAGCATAAGAGCGAAGAATATTTATCACTCCTTTCTCCACTTTTAAATGAAAAATTTTTATCACTCATTTTTGACAAGCAACGTTTCATAACTATTCATACTCTTATATCGTCCAGTATCTGGTTTTTGATCAACGTGAATACTTCAGGATTTGTAGAAAATCAGAGTATTTCGGAGGAGCGCCAGGCCATTGAAGAGGCCATCGAGGAGAACGAGGAAGAGCGCATTCCTCACGAATCATTCTACTCAGGCATATTGGGAGAAACTTTTCTTCCAGAAAAATTCACTTCTAACAGTAATACACGATTTGTTTCTTCAACAACATCACCAACAAAGATGGCTGTCACACCAAGTGAGTTGGCCAAATATTCACTGCATTTTAAGATATAATAAGTGATTTTAATACAATTATCAGTAATGGCCGATAACGAAGACGAAGCATTTTTCAATTTTTGAACTAAGTATTCTAATTAAAACTTATCAGTACTTCATTATTACTATGGCAATATGACCAATGCTCTTCTGATGTCAACAATTTATAACCATGTACATGCGTTCATAAGTACAAAAAAGAGGTTAGAAAACTCAAATCTCGTGAATAAAAGACATGCTAACGCAAAATTCACTGCACTAGCAAATTCTAAAAATTGAAGGCGCTGTATTTAAATTTGTATGATGAGGGTGTTAACGAACGTATCAACAATATATTACTCATCTATTCATGATCTAAAACCTCATTCTCAAAAAGATGTGCCAATAACTAAAGGATAATTTCTAATTATTTAAATTTAAGAGAGAGAAAATTTCAAAGTGAGGATCTGGAAAAACTATTTGTATTTGCAGGTCGTTATTTGCGTGGCTGCATTGACGTATTTCTCTTCATCCTGTGCTTGGCACTTGTAATTTTACAGTTTGGCCTTCTAGACTTCTATTACTTAACTATCCTAAAGGACAATATCTGGTATACCTGGATAGGAGCCGATTCACTCGTCATTGTTATCCTTATATGGCTCCTTGTTATAGTGGTACGGAACAATCAACAACATATGGAAGATGCCTGCTCTGCAGGTACAGAAAATATTTAGAAAAAAAAGACAAAAAAAAATACTTGTTAAAAAAAAAAACTAATACTTAAAGAGAAAAAAAATAAAAAAAGTACTCGGTTAATACTACTGTGGAACTTAAGATCTTTAGTTTGAATTACGATAAAGACAAACTTGATCATTTAATTGAAAATATATTGCAGATGCTAAAGTCAAATACACATGGATCGGATGGCTTTTGTATTCAGTTGTCCTGGCTGGAAAAGTGGCCGTTTGCTTCCGTCTCTTCTATACTCAGGTATGTAATGTTAATTTGACAAACACTGATAGCCTATATCAATAGAATCTAACTTAAGTACTAAACGACCGATTTTTAATTCAAAAGATCAAACCTTCTACCTAATCTATGTTTCAGCTGCCACCAACGAAAACTGACTTACATGACAAAATTCTGGATGACCATCTTTTCCGTTTGGGATTATCACTTAGTGCACCCATTTTCATACTTTTGCTTGAGTCGCATCATTACACAACCGTTAGCAGTAACCGACAATTATACCTGATTTACCTTATGACTACCATAACTTTTGACCTAATTGATACCATTTGCTTCCTCGACTTACTCTGGCAATCTTCCGTAAGTTCTTTTCGTTCAAATATCGCATTTTTCCTGCTTACAGTTTTCATCTGACTTTAAAACGTGGCATTAATCTTGATTATTATTAAAATTAACCTCCTAAAGGTGATTTGCTTTATCCATTTATCTGAACCGTTCTAAATTAAAGTATAATATCTAAATTATAAGAATCATCCCAATTAATATGATCAGTCCCCAAACTACATTGGATATTTATTTAATCCCAAACGGTTTAGAAAAACAATTGGAATTTGCCATTCTGGCTTGACATAACCATTCTGCTGCTTGCATGCGTGAACTTGATTTTACCAGTTTTTACGCTGTTACGCCTACGTTTCGGACGTCGTCTTCCACGTTTTGCACTTGTCAGTGAAAAGATCTGGTCCCTCATCTACGTTCTAATGGTAATTTTTCCTTTTTGTTGAAAATTTTCTGGTCTAATTTGCACTGATTTCACGAAGAATTTATAAAATATAAAAAACAAACTATTTTCGTTTTGAATAAGATTGAGAGATTGAAACCCCTGAATCACCTCCAAATTTACAGGTAAACGCACCATATCTTGGAATTCGTATTTACCTTTACGTGTTACTGGAGATGTCAACACATGGAAAACATTATGATGCAAGTATTCTGATGATAAAGAACATCGCAATGATTTACTTAGCAGTCAGGGATGTATGGACTCGCTTGCAGTACTGGCGACATAAGAAAAATATAAGTGGTTCTCGCGGGGAGCTTACTGCCCCCGGTGCAACTAATGATGATGACAACTGAGAGATTTTGTTTCCCAACCTCAACCACTTCTGTTTTATGACCATGCGTGCTAATGATATATATATACATATGTATATGTATATATATATATATATATATATTATATATATATATATATATATATATATCATGTATATATATATACATATATATA